ATCATGCCACAATCATGCGTGTCATGATGATGTCATGGTGTCACTCATCATGACACCATGACACTCATGATCTTCCACCATAAATAGTGTACTGCTTTGCACAAAAAGCAAGTGTGCACGGCTGCCAGGCGCCACATTACGTTCATGTGTAGTCCAAACACTCGTCTAATGTCAAGGAACATTTTTCCTCTGAGGCCGTTGTGTGTGTTCAAAGCTCTGCAGTAATTTGAACCCTGTCTGAATCGACTAAGATGTTGCAAACTTCCCTCTTCCCTCAGAGACTACCAAGCATGTCCTGAATAATAAGAGGAGGAGATCATCTCTTTCTGTCAGCCAGGATTAAATCCCCCACCCCCCACCCACAAGAAACCTGCTGGTCTGGCTGTGTCTGACGGGAGTGCGTGCTGAGCCGAGGCAGTTCGATCCTTGTCCTCTCCAAACAAATGCCACATGAGGGACGTTTCTTTTAAGATCTATCTTCTTAATCACATGTCAGCGGGATCATAAATCAGTCTCTAGAGCTGCTTTGTAGTTTGGAATTTGCATAAAGTGAGATTGCTGTTTAAACTGTCCTCATGGCATTTTTCACCAGGACACTGATAAATACATGGCACTCCTCAGACACGAGAGGGCAGGTGTAATCTGTTACACCGGTTCATACGTGGCACCTCTTTATCATTCGTGAAATTAAGCAAAATAAAATAAATTACTTCTTTATATGCAATTTTTCAAATAAACAATTCAATAACCTTAAAGTGCATTTCTGTCTAAACCTCTCAATTCTGAAGTTTTTTTCTTGAAATCGTTGATCTACCGTTAAAAATATTAGACAACTTTATATTTGCAAGGTTAACCAGAACATTTACATTAACACATGTCTAAATAAAGGTTGAATGACAAAGCACAAACAATTTGTGTATTTATACATCCATAACATAAGTATATTGTGCAAAAACGTTTTGCAGTAAAGAGTTTAGCAAGAGACAATTGTTTAGCTCTTTTATTTTTATGTATTTCAGAAAAAGAATAATGAACCCAACTGACCTGGTATGATCACTTCTTTTGTCCCAAATGCCTCCACTGGTCGCTCTGGTGTTGGCAGGGGGTGTGGGGGCAAAATGTCCACAGGCTCCTGGTAAACAGTTACTGGTTTATTGGCAGGAGGGTTTGGTAAAACCGTGTAGCCCATCCCACCAGGACAGATTTCTTTAAACATGGCTGCGAAATGACACAAAATACACATCAACGAAAGATTTTTACATTAAAACTGCATTATGGAAACTTTGAGTTAAAAAACTCTTGTGTCACAACATTCAAAAGGAATATTTCAGCCATTTTTAGATGCAGTTCTGTGAAAAAGACAATTAAAAGATGACCTGTTGTAGATAACTTTGGAATAGCCTCAGTTTGGAGCCAGAGTTTTGTCTGACGGGACTGATGAGCTAACAGCTAGTCTGAATTATCCATCCATCCATCATCTTTTTCCATTTTGGGTCACAGGGGTCGCTGGTGCCCATGTCCAGCAATCACTGTGCGAGGGGCGGGGTACACCCTGGACGGGACGCAAGTCCATCACAGGGCCACATAGAGACAAACGAGACAAACAACCATTCAATCTCTCACTCACACCTAGAGACAATTTAGAGTTACCAATCAGCCTAACATGCATGTTTTTGGTCTGTGGGAGGAAACTGGAGCACCCGGAGAAAACCCATGCATGCACGGAGAGAACATGCAAACTCCACGCAGAAAGGCCCCTGGACCGGGGTTTGAACCAAGGACCTGCTCGCTGAGAGGCAGCAGCTCTACCAGTTGCGCCACCGTGCTGCCCTAGTCTGAACTAGAGGATGACATTTTTTCGGGAGTACCGCGAGTCACGTGATTACAGATGGATTCCGGCGGGACCGGAGTCAACCTCATTATAACTCACGTGACTGGGACGTGACTGGACTGAAAGCTAACGGGAGCAGACAGGAGTGGGAACCGACCAATAACCAAAAATGAAAATGAAACAAAAAAAAAAAAAAACACGGGCGCAGCTATTTTGTAGTTTTCTTTCAGTAAGCCTTCACTTTAACACGTCAAAAGAACTACATTGCCCAGAAGTCATCTGTTCAAGTCGTAGCTTTTCACCGAGAGGGTGGGAGGAGTAGCTAAGCGGTACAGAGTAACTGAAAATAGTTTGCAACGCAAGGTAAGAAGTAACTGTCTATTAAACTCACAGAACGGGCAGGAAAGTGTCAAATAACCCTGAACTTCATGAGAGTTGTGTTGGTGCTGTGCTGCTTTAAACTTTAGTCTCAGCGGTGAGGAGCTGCGGGGAGTCGGACTTTGTTTACCGTCAGTAAATGAACGGACTCAAACAACACATTTTTCTCTACCTTGTCCCTTTTAATTTAAAAATGATGCTCTGCTTTGTTATGTGGGTTTTTAGGTTAAAATCTGCATTATCTGTCACTGTTTGTAATGTAAAAAAAAAAAAAAAAAAACTCTACCTGGTTAAAGTGCACGTGCATTCTCCAGTAAAAATATTCCTATTTTTATATTGTGACGTCCTGTTGGATACTGAAATCGAGGAAAACGTGAATAACCATCACTTTATTGTGTAAATAGTTACTGTCGGCTGTAACCATGCTAGTACAACAAACTTGTTAAGAGTGAAAACATTCTCCGGTAAAAATATCCCAGTTTTTATATGAAAGACTGGTTGCATATATATTATAATAATTGTTTTAGTTTGAGATTTAAGATGTGATGTGTACAATTATGTTGTGTTAAATTTTAGGCCAAGAGTTGATTTTTCTCAGTTCATTTCTTCACACCAGGGGCGATTCTAGAAGCCTTTTTTAGGGGGCTTAGCCCCCCAGTGTTGACAATGGCTCTTGGCTTGAACCACACAGTGGGTATTAGCATTAGAATTATTGTAGGGGGGACATATTGGTGTGAAGTCTGTGGGTCCTCCCCCATAACTTTTTGAATAAAGCAGCTGCAAAAATGCAGGGACTCAGCAGCTGATCCTCCGTAGAAAAAATTATATGAACTGGCCATGTATTATTTGTTTTATGACATTTAGTGAAGGTTTTTCTTTGGATTAAGACAATAAATGTCTATATTTCACCACAGATGAACTGTTCCTGTTGCCATATCTTTTTAAATAAAACTGCACAACACAAAGTAATTTAAACAGGAATGGGTAGAAGATCAAATCAAATTCAATGGATTTCCTAAAAATTAAATGAAAAACAGGAGCAGTACAGGAGTGGGAGTGATTCTGAACAGGAGCAGGAGTCATGTTACCAGGAGTAGGACAAGACAGGATTAATTTTTTTTACTCTGGACCAGGATTGGGACAGGACAGGAATTTTTCTGTGGGACCAGAACAGGACAGGAGTGAAAATCCACTCCTGTGTCATCCTCTAGTCTGAACCAAGGTAAAACTGAAGTGGATCATTGCCGTCTTAAAATTGCTCCAATCTCAATAATTTCATATTGGTTCATGCAAACTTTTCTATGAAACTCCACTTCAAATGTCTGAATCCCATGTTTAAATCTAGAAACAATGTTTTACATACAGAAGTAGCCTACATTTAGATCAAAAGTTTAAATCCATAAATCAAACCTTTACATTTTGTGTTGTGATGTTTAGCAGCTCTCACCCCAGAAATTTATGAGAAGCGTCTTATCAGGACCAAAATGTGGAGAAGCACATCAGTCTTAGTTTTAGTGAGTGAAGAAAAAAAATCCTGAGCATAAAGTTATCAATAAAATTACTGAAAAAAAAAAACAGAATGACATCTGTGTTGCTACAGTGTTTTACCATTTTAAGTTACTGAAAATAACTAAACCTTATTCAAAACAACACTTTTCAAGCTGTGATAAAAATTAAATGGCTTCATCTGACAAAATAAAATGTACAAAAGCACAGACAATAAAACCAAATATGAGAGATTAAATGACTAACACACCAGTTGTAAACTTAGTTTGCAAAAAACACTAACATTTAAATGAGAAAAGCAAAACGCAACAAGAAAAAAGTTGAAAAAAAAAACACATAGGACATTGATATAGGAATGATTATTTTGATGCTTTTATGTCAATTTATACTTA